AAAGTTTGTAAATAATGATAATCAATATCCCATATATTCACTAAGCTATTATTCTTATAAATTAGACCTAAAGTAAAAAACATAATGTTTCTCGCTCTCAACTAAAAATTCTTATGATGGGAAAGGAAAAATCTTTCGAGAAATACTTTAATACTATATAAATTTGCTGTTACAAAACGGTAACTAATGATAATGGTTTGTATGGTTTAAAGTAAAGAAAAACTCCAATTCAATTGATTTGTTTCATTATTTGATTATGTATAATACATTAACTCATAGTAAAAAGCAAAGAAGAAAAAAAATTACAAAACAAAAGAGAACAATAGAGAAAATAATATAAGAGAAAAATAACAACACAAAAAAGGAAGAAATGAAAATTCGTAAAGAAAATAATTTTTTTCAAGATGAAAAGAAATAATAGTTTAATAAATTATTCTGTAAATAATGATTATCAACATACCATGTACTATTCACAAATTTATTACGCTGTGAAGTGGAACTTAAATTTAAACTTGTACTTTCGCAGATGAAAATTTTTCTCATTGGAAAAAAATAATTCTTATTTCTAAATATGTCAAATTGTTATGCCTACAAAGAAAAATCAATTATTCTAGCTGGTGTGTAGAAAATATATTAGTAAAGCTATCATGATTCTGGTTATTGGTGAAGTAGCATGAATTTTTGTTAATTCTTAATCAGGGTGCGTAGCCAGATTTTTCAACAAAAAGCACCTTTTAAGTACTTTTTAATGACTCAGAAAATATTTTTAATCCCTTTCCAAAAGAAAACCATAATTAGAATCTGTGCAATAATAAAAAAAAATTTTCTTTAGTTTAATGTTCTAAATTTATGAACATAAAATCAGTAAAATTCAAAAACATTTTCACAAATTTCACATAATCATGATAAAATAACTAGTTTCTGATAAATATTGTGGGGAAAATTTTGAAAGTTCTGCATTTTTGTAATTTAGAACACAATCGATACGGCAAAGAAAAAATCTCTTTTTAAAAGATATAAAATTAATCACTTTTTGCAAACCCCGAATAAAAAAAGCACCTTAAGAGCTCTTAAAAATGTAAATCAAAAATAAACAACTTTAAGCACTTTTTAAAAAAGCTACACACCCTGGAAATACTTTAAGTTTCGTTATACTACAAGCTTTCAAAAGTTTTTCTCGCGACCGTGCAATATATTCATATTTAGTTTCTTTTCTTCTTTACTTTATTATGCATAGTCTAAAATTAATTCATGAATCTGTTATTTAAAAAGTAATTTAAAAATTAACCAAAAGTGGAACAAATTAAAAAACAGGATTTGTTAAAATGGGAAAATTAAATCTTTTAAGAAATTTGAAAAAAAAGATTTTATTAAGCAATATAGTATAAAATGTCATTTATGTCTATAAAAATGATACGCATACTTCATATATTCACGAATCTATTATGCTACAAAGTGAAACTTAAACTCTCATCCCATAACTTTCTAGTTTCATTTTAATCTACATTGTAGATAACCACGAATATATTTTTCAATAAAGTAGTGAATAAATGAACTATAAAAAAGGAATGTGAATAAATGAACTATAAATAAACAATGGAATAAAGTAAAAACCAAAGCTTTACGAGAACAGAAATCGAAATCTTTAACGAAGTAATAAAAACGAGGCTTTTCCCCCTGCTAATCTTTATGTAGATATTCAGTGATTCATTATTCAATAATATGAAGCAAAAATAACCTAAATTTAGAATAAATTGAAGAACAAAAATAGAGAAAATTAAATCATTTTCTAGATAAACTGAAATTTAGAATACTTTATTAAACTATCGTTCAAGTCTGTAAATAAAGATAATCAATATTCCTTATATTCATGAATCCATTATGCTATAAAGTGGAACTAAAATCCAAATCCAATTGCTTTTTTCCCTGTTAGTCTATTTGTAGATATTCACTGATTCATTATTTAATAATATAAAGCAAAAATAACCTAAATTTATAATAAATTGAAAAACAAAAATAGAGAAAATTAAGTCATTTTCTAGATAAACAGAAATGTGGAATACCTTATTAAACTATCGTTCAGGTCTGTAAATAAAGATAATCAATATCCCTTATATTCATGAATCTATTATGCTATAAAGTGGAACTAAAATCCCTATCCAATTGCTTTTTTCCCTCTAATTTATTATAAAGATCTTCTAAGGATCTCCACAGGAAGAGGAGAGAAAAGCAATCTCTTCATTCCAATAAGGCAGAATCCTGGAGTAAAACTTAATGTCAGACAGGCGAACAATGGGAAAGGTAAAAATAAGGGAGCTTTGTAATCCCGCCTGGATATAGGATTGTGAATTCGTTCCCAACCTATGGGATCTTCTTTAATCCACCATAAATAGCCAGGGCTGAGTAATAGGAGCACAGCACTAAACGTCACTTGAAGTAAATTGCTTCTTAGCGAATCTGAAATTTTCACCAATAAAATGAGAAGAATAATGGTGTAATTACAACTTATTCTACTTTGAAAAAGCCATAAAAAAAGCTTCGGCATTTGCTTCGGTCAGTTTATCTGAACGAATTCATTAATTAATTACTTGTAATTCATTTATTATTTGCGTGTGGTGTTGATTTTATACTTAGAATTGAAACTCGTTAAGATTACAAAAGTTGCGGATTGCACTTGTTTAGTTTTTGTGTCACTGAAAATAAATTAATTAAATAATATTAATACGTATTTGAATTATTAATAAGTTCTGCTGATTTTATATTTTAGGAGTTGGTTAATCAATAGGATTAATTTTCGAATCTAGGCTTTCGAATCTAGGATTAATTTTTTGCTTTATTCGAATTAAAATAATTAAATGTGTGATTCGAAAAATATAAATGGTTCTTGTGTTTATAAGAACAAAATAAATGGTTCTTTTTCTAATATATATTCACTTTCGTTTTTCTTTTTAATTTTACTAACACATATTATTAACTTTATATTTCAGAAATATGACAAAAAATATTAAGAGAATATGGGAAATCAGACTCTATTGAATTTTTGTGTTACGTTTAACTTAGATTAATTACTTAGATGAATTAATATTAGATTAATTCACTTTTATGTTAGATAAATTTTTGAAAAATAATTTTTTTTATCTTGAATGCACATATTTTAAGGTAGTAAGAAATGCTTAGCATTTAAAATTCGAATGATTGATTTTAACTTCGTCGATAGAAATAATTGGAATTATTCTTTAAACGTAATAATTCCTAAATTTATAACTAAAAACTGAATTCCAAGAAAATTAAACATTTTTATATATTTCTGTGTAACTATATCCTTTTACTTCAGGGGATTTAAACTATATTCATATATCCACCTTTGTTCATTTTAATGCTGTTCTGTCTTTTATAGTTGCTCTAATAAAGACATGCGCAGACTCTACATATGGCTGTTGCCCGGATGATAAAACAGCAGCCGCAGGTCCGAATAATGCTGGTTGTCCAAGTAAGGTTTATTATTATTCATTTCTCGTTCAAAGTGGGTTAAAGAAAATTTGCAATACCATTTGTATTAGTTGAACATAATTTTTTTTTCACAAAAATATTTTGGAAAGTTTTTTTTTTTTTTTTTTTAATTTTTTATTTTTTTTATTAGAAGAACTTTCTAAAGCTGATAGCTGATTGTCTATGTCACTTGGCATATTTCTTTCAGTTCTTAACTCTTTTTTTTATATGTTAGAATATTTTTGAGTCTGGTTTTATTAACAGTAAGAGTATGGTGAACAGAATTTAATTCATCCTCAGTTAAAACCATGTGAGTTATAGCTTGGTTAATAAAATAACTATAGGGAATATTTTGTAGCACATATACTTGATCTCTGGTAAGGGATTTTGAATCTAAAACTAGTTTTGCTACTAAAGTTAGATTCTTTTTTAAAATGATATCTCAAGTCTATTTTTTGCCGAAAAGTACAAGTTTAAAAACATTTCATATTACAATCGTTGAGACAAATTTCTAAGGGAGTTGGGCGCGTCATCAGGATTAAAACTGATAAGGAAACCATGCCCAGAAATATCATCGCATAGTTTGGGATGCTTCCCTAATATTATCTGTTCAGAAGCACACAAAGAAACTGTTCATAATAGGGTATCAACCCTAGCGTCGTATGGCATTTCCAGCCATTGATTACTAAGGCAGTTTTATAACCGATGATGGGCCCTAACTCCCCTAGAAGTCAGCTGCAACATTTATGCGACACCTGTTGCATGCAATGCTTTTAAACTTGTGCATTTCGAAAAAAACTGCGCTTAAAAACTTGCAGCTTGGAGAGAGAAGTCAATTCTAGATTTGAAATCAGTTATATGAGAGTATCTAAAATGTATTGAAAAATCTCATGCAACAGAAAACAAAAAATGTTCTCTAGTGTAATGATTTATTAGACATGAAAATAAATTTTAATTCGTATATTTCGACAAAAATGGTGTTAAAAATTTTTTAACTTGGCGAGAAAAATCAATTCAAGATTTGAAATCAGTAATACGAAAGTATCTAAGATCTGTTTAAAAATCTCATGCAACTGAAAACAAAAGATATTCCACAGTGTAATGATTTATTAGACAAGAAAATACTAATTATTTATTAGGCACTAAAGTACATTTTAACTAGTACATTTTGACAAAAATGGCGTTTAAAAAACTGTAGCTTGGCGAGGGAAATCAATTCCAGATTTGAAATCAGTGATAAGAAAGTATCTAAGATCTGTTGAAAAATCTCATGCAAAACAAAAAATTTTCCCTAATGTAATCATTTATTAGACATGAAAATAGATTTTGATTTGTATATTTCGACAAAAATGGCGTTTAAAAAATTGTAGCTTGGAGACAGAAATAAATTCCAGATTTGAAAATAGTGATACGAAAGTATTTTATGGAAGTACATTTTAATTTTAAAATGAGCTTTAAAATAATTAGGATAAATTTTTGCAGGCGTTTGCAACTGCAACAGACTTGGTTCTTACGCCTTAACATGTGATCCTGAAAGCAAACAATGTTCATGCAAACCAGGTGTTGGAGGATTGCGATGTGACAGATGTGAACCCGGGTATTGGGGACTTCATAAAGCATCAGAAGGAAGCAGTGGCTGTTCGTGTAAGTAAAAAGAACTCTTTGGTATTTTATTGAAATAATTAGTAAAAATGATTATTAATATCAAAAATCACCTTTAGTGGCAAATTTAACTTATAAATTAAAAAATAATTCATTCTATTGCATTCAGTAATTTTATATGAAATTTCTCTCCAACTGATGAGTAACCTGAGTACAACAACTGAGGGAAAAATATAGGTCGAAGCAAATATGAGGATCTAATAACTAATAGAATCAGCTAATAGTAGTCAGCTATAGTTGATCAGCTAATAGTAATAGCTAACCAACTAATAGTATTTTTTAAACTTTTTCACGAAAAAAAATTTAAATAAAAAGCCACATTGAATGCCTCACACATGAGTGAAAGCTTTAATTTAAAACTAAAAAAACCATCTAGCAGTAAAAACTTATATTTGCTTAAGAATAGACAAATAACTTATATTTTAAAATTTATTTAATCTAGATAAAAAGTATCAAAATTAATAGACTTTTTATATTTTTTTATCTTTCTCAAAAAATGCTTAGAGAACTATTTAATAAATTTAAAAATATCTAGTGTTATAGTTGAAAAAACATAATATTCTTATAGTTAATTTAAATTGATAGTTCACAACGTATGGACATGAAAATATAATCAGTTTGTCTTAATTTTTAATCTGCGGTTCAACACAATTAATATCAACTTTTATTTCATATACAATAAGGGAATTAAAACTAAAAGTTCGCCATCAATGAAATTTTAAAACACATCGAAGATTCATAACTGAAAATATCCGTAAAAACCAAATAAAAAAGATTCCAAAAGGTAATTAAGGGTAGGTAAGTACTTTATTTACGTCACACAGGAGCTACACAGTGGGCTATTGATTACGGTCTGGGAAACATCCCTAAGGATGATCCGAAGATGTGCCATCGCAAATTTAGATCCCCTGCAAAAGGGGATGACTCCGTTGCTTTGGTAGCCCGACAACCTGCGAGCGAAGTCGAGCATTTTATGACAGAACAGTTTAACGAGAACCGATACCGCGCGGCATCAGTCATTCTCATGCTGATCAAAGTGGTCACCCACTGACGGCAACCTGTGATGCTTTACATCGGTGTCCTACTGAAAACCGTGTCCGTACGATAGTCCACGGCGAAACGGTGATTATAGCAATGTTTAAGATATGCAATAATTACTTAGTCTGATTACCTAAAAATGCCATTGCAATTAAATGTTGTTAAGTGTGAAAGCCGGTTTTAATTATCACTAATTGATATTTCCTTAAACATCAATTTACAGCCTGCAGTTGCAACACATATGGATCAGTTCGTGATGATTGTGAACAAATGACTGGAAGATGCGTCTGTAAACAAGGCATAAAAGGTTTGAAATGTGATGTATGTCCCCCTGGAACAGTTTTGGGACTAGATGGATGCATGGATGGTATGTAACTCTTACAAAATATTTTTCAATCAATATAAATTTCAATTAAATAAAAGGTGACTTATTTTCATACATTCAATTTCATTTTATAATCGTTCTTGAGCAGCCTTCCCAAATTTTGGGTTTATGACTACACATTTTCAACTCAGTAGCCTTGTAATCTTGAACCCTATCCAGAAGACAAGGGAACTCCTGGATCAAGTATTGAGATAAATCTGGGGGACAGTTTTGATGAAACTAACCCGCATTTGCGTTGCATGGAGAGATAGATCACGAGAACCTCCCACGGTTAGCCTGACGGCAAAGAGACCCTAACCCATGATACCTCCGCCACTGAGGATATGTCACGTCTGCACTGTGGTCGGAGCAAGCCAGATGCGGATTCGTATCGAGCAGCCATCGCAGGGATTCAAACTCGGTTTGCCTCATTGGGAGGAGAACACTCTATTCTCTGAGCCACTACGACTCACATTTTCGCTTGGTGTAAAACCGCCACCATTTTTGACATTCAGTAGCACCGAAATCCATAATTCAGTAAAATATGATACACTTAAGAATCAGCAAAATTACTTTTGGAAAACAAAATTTAGAATAAGAATTATTATTATGAGATGCATCTATACAATATTTCTTACAATAAAATTAGTTTGTTGAACAAACATACACACAGCACACCCAAGTCACAATTTTTGATAGTTTTCCATTGATAGACCAACATGATTTTGATGGTAACCATCAATAATTCTATCATGAACCATTATATTTGTAGATGGTTACCAACAAAAGTAACCATCACCCCATTGTAGGAATTCGGACTGATTCATGATGTGTCAACATAAGAGAAAAACTAAATTGTTTTTATGGTATATTCCTAGGAACCAACAAAAATTTCCATTAAATCATCCAAGAAATTTATAATTGGAACTATCATGAACCATCGCGAATCTTTACAGATTGTTGGTCATTGAGGGTCAATTTTTTCTTGATGGTTAACCATTACAGTATTAAAGAAGCGTCTTCCATCATCATGGAATGATGGAAGATAGTTGGCACGTAAAAAACAATGAACGCATAATGGAAAATATTATGCGATGATAACCATCGAATGATGGACCATCATGAATGGCACTGAAACCAACATACACCATCCATATTCTTGGGTGGAACCATCAAGAATTTTGACTTTGCAAGAGAGAATATATGTATGAATTGGAACTAGGCTAAACAAAACCAAAGTGAACGAAAGTTAATATTTAAAACATATTTAATGCCATTGGCAGTAATATTATGTAAAATAAAATGTATTATGTAAATATTCTAAAAACATAAATATCTTTATACAACTAAAAAATACATGCCTTTCATGACAGTTTACATGAGTAGTTTGTCAAGTCAACCCGACAAGAAGATTATAATTACTTGGCGGATAACTGACTACAATCTTAGAACTCTCTCATGTTTGTACTGTTATCAGTAACTAACTCTAGTTAGGCTTTGGTATCCACCATCATGGATCAAAGAATAAAAGAACTCATATCTTCAGAAATAATATTGATATTTAAAGAAACTCACTTATTACGTGTAGTTGGATTATTCTGTAATCGATTACGTCACTTCTAGCACACATAAAATCACAGTTATCTTTATTTCCCAGAACTTACGCAAACTCGACAACAGCACATCCTCACTCTTGTTTACAACCGTGAATGGAGTTAAAACATCTGAGCTTAGAGTAAGCTTTAGCAATTATTTGAGTTACAATTCAACTGCATTCTTTGAGGAGAGCATGAACGCTCCATTCGGTATTAACTTGAAATAAAATAATCACACACACAATTACGATTTTAGAGTTGTTAAAAAAAAGGCCAAACTTTAACTATCATGTCATTAGCTGTGGAGCTCCCTAATACTTTTGTGGCAGATCATTGTGATAGGTATAATATCACAGTTGTCACAGTGTATACTTATAATACAACTGTTTAATTTTTCACTAAAATATTAATCGGGATCCAGTTTAATAATTTTAAACACATACAGTCCCTTTACCAAATTATTAAACCCATTGTAAGATTTTATGTAAAATCTTATTTATTGGGTGATACTATGTAGCTTTACATTTTTTTACAGGACGGAAACCGGCTTGCACTTGTTTATGTACTAGTATCATTTGGTTAACATTGTAATGCATAATGCATTATGCATATATAAATACAAATAGAAGTGTATAAAAAGTCTCCTGTATAAAAATCCATTGCATGTATTTTTAAATATAAAAGTAGTGCCTATGAACTCAGGCAAAACATGTTTTTATTAAAAATACTACAGTGTGTCTAATAATTGGGTCTAATTACTACAATATACTATTATAATGCCTGATATAACCAATATTCTACATTTATATAATACTAGCCGCTTAAGGCGGCCAGCTGTCCGCCACGCTAAAGGTTTTCACAAATAAAGTTTTTTAAAACATAGCAGAAAATTTGAAGATTAGTGGACAATTAAAGTGTTCCTGTCCTGCAACGTTGTCTTCATACCCAGTTCTGCTGCAGATATGTTATAGCTCTTGAGGATGTTTGAAGATGTAACTTTGCTATGGTAACCTAAGGCCTATGGTAACCTAACCTATAATATANTTTAACCGATTGATACACGAACGTAAACAAGTGCAAACCGATTTCAGCCTCGTAAAAACAATAAAGCTGTTATAATATCAGCTGATTATTAAGATTTCACATAGAATCTTATAGTGAGTCTAATAATTTGGTCTAATTATTATAATATACTAATATGATGCCTAATATAATAAATATTCTGTATTTATATAATATATCGTCTAATTTATTCAATCGTCGAATTTATGTTGTATATCGTCTAATTTAACCAACTGATACACGAACGTAAACAAGTAAAAAACCGGTTTCTGTCGCGTAAAAATAATAAAGCCGTATAGTATCACCTGATAATTAAGATTTTACATAGAATCTTATAGTGCGTCTATTAATTTGATAAGGGACTATATATGCAGGGAAAATGTTATGATACTCTGAATATAGGGTTGAAATTATTCTATATTTTTAATGAAATACCTAGCATATATCTTAGATACGATAGCATTATTTTCTTACTGCTAATTCCTTTACATGACTAGATTTTTTTTTTCGTTCTAATTTAGAACTTATCTCTAAATCCGTAACTATTTAATCCCTTAAGCAGTTACATTTGAAATTTAATTCCATACTTTAGAGCTCAATCTCTTAACAATGATTCCAATTAAGTATCTATAACTAAAGCTGAATCTGGGTCTCTTAACAATGATTCCATTTCAGTGTCCATCTCGAAAGCTGTATCTGGTTCATGCTCTGATTTACGCTGCATCCATGGTGCAACATGTCAAGAGAAAGACGGTTTAGCTCAGTGCACATGCAATATTCACTGTGCAGCTGCTGAGAACAAAGAAACTGTTTGTGGATCGGATGGTAACACATACGCATCAGAATGTCAACTGAAAGCATTCAGTTGCAGATATCAGAAACAGATTTCAGTTGCATCCAACGGACCATGCAAGAGAGGTGGCCAAAGTGAGTGTCATTTTATAATCTTCGCTTCAAAAATAGTTCTATTTTTAGACCATTTTCAATAGAAACAAAAATACTTTTCCTACCCTTTTATCAAAGTAATTGATAAATGTTTTTGGCATTTTCAAAGAGTGACAATTACTTAAGACTCAGATCGATTTGTTTTAACCCAAAGGGTAACTCAAAATTATCATCCAGTCATGTCTTTTTTTTAATACATACACCGTAGAACAGCCGAACCAATTTTGGGCTTACGACTACTAATGTTAAACTCCGAAGCCTTGCAATTTTGAACCCAATCCAGAAGGCTAGGAAACTCCTGTATCAGTACCCTCAGAGGTATTGATTCGTTATGGGAACATGGAGGACTTTGCGACTCGACAGATTTAACGTGCATCAGTCACCATTACTTCGGCCGGCGGGGTCCGAACCCACGAACTCTTGGACATGAACCCTGCGCCCTACCAACCAGGCTATCCCGGCCTCCCATCCATGTTTTTAAAAGAAATGCATTTAATGTATTTTCGATTGCTTACTTTGAAAAAAAATAATTTCTTTCTCTCTCCTTTTTTTCCTCTATTTTTCTAATGAACCCTCTTTTCTTTTTCTGTGGCGTTTTGCATTAACCCCTCTAATTTGCATGTTACATTTTAGTAAAAGCAAAAATCACAAGAGACAGGAAAGCAGTTCTTCAGATATTAAGCATTAATAGACTTGTTAAGAAAAGAATTTGTTTAACTTTGAACCATAATATAACGCAAGGTTGCTACAACCGTAAAATCTATCGTATAATTAAATTTTATTTAATTTGATAACCAGGATTAAACAGAAGATTATCAGTTCTCAACACTTAAGCCTTGTAATTTTAAACCTAATCCAAAATACAAGGAAACCCTTGTATCAAGCATTGGAATTAACTATCCTTCGAGCAGGATATTTTGATAAACCAACTCACATTTGCGTAACATGGATAGGAAAAACACGAAAACCCCCCACGGTTAGGCAAAGGATTGAAAACCATGATCTGCCTAACACTGCGCATATTTTATGTCAGCAACGTGGTTGGTGTGAGCCATGACCAGCTCGGTGCGAGCCGAAACTGGGTCAATATAATGAAATTTAAGTTTGTTTAACTGGGCATTGTGTTTAGGTCATAAAAAAATGGTATGATTTGTATTCAGAAAACAAATCCTTCCTGCAACATCTCGTTATCGGAAAGGGGGGGGGGACGGAGTTTAAGTCTCCAATAGTTTTTATTGTGACGATTCATTACATTACTTTCTTCACTTCAGATATGGTGTTACCCACCGATCTGAAGCCGAGGGGGACTGTCACTGAGGACCGAATTCCAGTCATATGACTATAGTCAAGTTCGATGCACTTCACATTCTCTAATTAGACTTTTGTTTTGATATTAAAAGTGCGAATACAATGAAAAATATTTTTAAAAAATGTTGTTTTTTAAACCATGTTGAAACTGCGAATCGTCACTGATTTTTGAGCAAGTTCGTTAATTACTTTTTTTATAAGAAAACAGTTTATATTCGCTAATTATTCTGTACGAAACAACAATTCTTAAATATAAAAATAAATGGTAACCTGTTTTGATAACTATTATTATTCTATACTGAAATATATTCTATACTATTTATTCTAAACCCTTTATTCTATGCTATTTATTCTATACTATTTATTCTACACTAGAATATATTCTATACTATTTATTCTATACTAAAATATATTCTATACTAATTATTCTACATTAAAATATGAAGACACACGGTGACGATTTTTGAGATAAAATTGACTTGTAAACATTTTCCAAAAAAAATATATTTTCTCCTTAATATATTTTAAAAATATAGAGTTCGATTTAAATTTAATTTTTTTAACAAAATTTCTCCTCATAATTAAATTATTGATTTTCAGCTCCCATTTTCTTTTTCAGAAAACAGCAAAGAAAAATTCACTCATTAAAATTTCTAGTCTTCGTATTACCCTTCCATCATTTAAACAAATAAAAAAAAATATCAGACTTGAAAGAAAAAGAAAACCAGTCTAGATTTTTCATTAATATAATAAATTTACCGTTAATGTATTGTTATGCTTTTATGAAAGTCCTACTAGGAATTGAACAAGTAGGATACAAAATGATACTCGAAAAGGATTTAGTTCCCATCTGGTAAAAAAGTGGTAAAAAATTCTACTGAATCTTTTCATCTTGCTTTATCATCACTTATAAAACGTCAATCATTTTTTCTTATTTTTCCTCCATTATAAATTTATTGCTGTTATTTTTCTTAACTCATATTTTACAGATTACCCTATAAAATTCTTAGAATAAGAAATTTTGATTTATACAATAAAAAAGATGTCAAAAATCTCACATATAATATAAATAGAAAATCGAAATGTAATGGGGAAAAAAATCAAAGGGAAATTATTAAAATTTAAAAGAAGTCAGTCCTATATATATATATATATATATATANGAGTAAGTAATTTTATCAGTTAGCTTAACATTATATATATATATATATATATCAAAATCATTTCGATATTTCATAGCTATCAGGCTATTTCACATCCACTAAGAAGCATAAATGTAAATGTAATGGAAAAATCAACAAAATCTATAACTCATAGAGATTCCAATTCATGCGAGATATATAGACCATTGATGTATTGATATACTACAATGAAAGTCTATCTATGAATTGAACGAGGATAATTCACGAACTTGGGTGGAAGGAATTTAGTTTCTGTCTAGGAATAAAAGTGGTGAAAAATTCTAGCGAGTCACTTAATCTTGGCTCTATCCTCACTGTTGTATCATCAATCTTTGAGATATCAGGCGCTCTATATAATTCACTGATGTGTGAAGAGATAGACAACCACTTTGACGGAAAACTTTGATTGAAGTAGCTGAAAATAATGGCCTACGATATCGCCGATTATCGATATCTTCTCAGTTGAAAAGTCTGATTCAAACATGAGATATCTAAGGCGTGATATTCTGGTCGTTGTAAATGCAATAACAGATATTTTGAGAAAGACGATTATTTTATTTCTTATTTTTACTTCTGGATGTTATAGGTTATAAATCCGTCTAAGTATAATAAATATATATTCATTTTGAAACATATATATATTATTGTTTTTACGCAACTGAAACCGGTTTGCACTTGTTTACGTTCGCCTATCAATTGGTTAAATTACACGATATATAATATAAATTCAACGATTGGAAAAATCAGACGATATTTTATATAAATATAGAATTTTTATTATATCAGTTATTATATTAGTTAGAGCATAACTATAATAATTAGATCAAATTATTGGCCGAAATGTAGTGTCTTAATAATTGCATCGCCTGCACGAGATTACATGCCATACATTTATATTTAAACGCATATGTAATGGGTTTTTATTCAGGAGATGTTTTATATACTTCCTATTGGTATTTATTTTTAATGTAGTGAATACAATTTTAACCAAATGATACACGAGCGTTAACTGTTGCAAGCCGGTTTCAGCCACCTAAAAACAATAATAATGTATAGTATAACCTTATAATTAAGATTTTACGTAAAATCTTACAGTGCTTCTAATAATTTAACCAGGAACTTTAATAATAATATTAATAATATATATATATATATANAGTATATATATATATATATATATATTGATGTGACAAAAGTCATGGGATGCTTTCTAATAATGTGAATCTCCTCAATCTCTATGAATTGCACCAACTCTACGTAACATAGATTTAACAGCTAGTTAGAACTCTCTTACAGAAATATTCAAAACTGCAGTCGGAATAGATGTCCATAATTGCGAAAGTGTTACGGGTGCAGGGTTTTACGAGCGAACTGACCTATAAATTATATCCCATAAATGTTTGAACGGATTTATATCGAGGGAATGAGGTGGCAAAATCATTCGTTACAATCGTTCAGAATGTTCTTCAAAATGAGGGGACAATGAGGGCTCGGTGGCATGACACATTGTCATCCATGAATAATATATTCTTGTTCAGGAGTCCAGGAATGGTGGCAAGTGTTCACCAAGTAGCTAAACATAACTCTTTCCATTCATTGAAAAAGGCAATCGTACCATAGAACCCTGTCCATGCCATTAAAACGCAGCCCACACCATTATTGAGCCACCACTTGATTGTTCACTGCCTTGTTAAGAACTTGTGTCCATGGCTTCGGGGGGTCTGAGCCACCCTCATGTTAATAGAATTATTTGACCAAGCTAAAGTCTTCCAGTCATCTGGTGTCCGACCAATAGCGCTCTTCTGGGTCAAGAGCCCAGGAATTTCTTAAGTGTAAATAGTATATAAAAATATAAAAAATAGCTTTAGAGATATATACCAGCATCAGTCAAAACTACCTTATTTGTTTCATGCCAAGCGTTATAGATCCAAAAGTTACTAAATATATTTCACTCGATAAAAAATATTACTAAGAAAAGCTACTAAAATAATGAATGTAATGAAATTTTTCATATTTTTGAACAAAATGCTTTATATCATTTTGCAAAACTTTTACAAACAATAAATTTAATGGGAAATTTACGAAACAGAAAGGAACACATAAAAATATTAGATTATTGGATTACTTTTATGAACTACTTTAGTTTTCTTTATTTTATATCTACGTAACTTTTTGAATAACGAAGTTTAAACAATATTTTTACGTTGATGGAATTTTGCTCGGCCAAGGGCTCGAAAATGCGTATAAATCACTATTAAAAAATAAAATATTTATTTACGAAAATGAAAAAAAACTTAATTAATTTTCTTTTTATGTGTTCAACTAAAATTGTTTGATGATTTTTTATTAAAATTTATTCACGAAAGCATGGTTTTTTATTAAAATTGCATGATGTTTGATTAATTGAATTAAACATGTAATTTTATTTAGTATGCAAAAATTTTAAATCTCTTCTTTTAACTGAGAAAACAGTTTAATTATTTATCTTCTTCTGTTTATTTCCTTTTGAATATCAACTATTCATCAATTATTTTGCTTTGTTTATAATTTTCTGTATTTAACTGGGATCTAAATTCTTAAAAATACGTTTTGGTATAAAACAAATTATTTATTTGACGTCACAAAAGCTTCTTCCGATGTTTCCCGTTTTCCTTTTAGACATAAATTAATTTTCTTTTTTTCCAGCTCAAGTCGTGATCGTCGCACTATTTTCTCCGAAATTAAGATAATTAATCAATCGCTGTTGTTATAAATTAATTAACTCTTGAATAAGCCAAGTTGAAGACTAGTTATTAAATTTTCTCGTTTTTCGGAAGAAGCAGAGAATAAGTAAAATACTATAATTGATTTAAACATGTACTTCTTAAGTTATTGGCAATGGTTATTATTCTATTTTATTAGAATTTATGCTCGTTTGCATTTTTTAAAGTATTTTTTGACGTAATATTTAGTTGTTCATTAAAATGCCCTTTAATTAAAGTAAAAAACTACAAAATAGTAATAGATTTAACAAATATAAAATAGAACTCATTACCCTATTTTCTGAAACTTAAATTTACAGAGTGCACCGAAATTCAAACCATGAAATTGGCCTATAATACCAAACCAAAATCCATGAAACTGAAAAATTCTAAGGGTGATTAAAGGTATCAAAAAAACAAAAATTCTAAGGGTGATTGAAGTTATCAAAAGAACAAAAATTCTGGGGGTCATTAAAGGTATCTATCAAATGAACAAAAACTCTGGGGGTGATTAAAGGTATCAAAGGAACTAAAAATCTGAGGGTGATTAAAGGTATCAAAAGAACAAAAATTCTGAGGGTGTTTAAAGGTATCAAAAGAACAAAAATTCAGAGGGTGAATAAAGATATCTAAAGAATGAAAACTTGTCATCGAACATGGGGGTCACGAACCACGTTGAGAGGGTGAAAATCTCGAAAAAAGCACGCAGTCTCTGATCTAGAGATTTCGAAATGTGGCTGTCAGTTGAGGTTTCACCAGCGGTCGGAAAAACTACATTATTTTTGTAGTTTACTACAACCACTTTATCACATATGTATTTAATTACAACTACAACTAAATTTTAGTAGTCGTAAACCTATAAAATTGGGTCAGCTGTTCAGCGACGGTAATAAAATAAAATAAAACGTAGTAACTAGAGCCGCGATGGCTCAGGGGATAGAGCGTTCACCTTCCAATGAGGTGAACCGGGTTCGAATCCCGGAGATGTCTGATCGATATGAATTCTGCATCCAGGTTGCAGCAACCACAGTGCTTACGTGAAATATCACCAGTGGTAGACGGATGATGGGCTAGAGTCCCCTTAAACGTGGGAAGTCCTCGTCGTCTTCCTATCCATGTAACGCAAATGAGGGTTATTTCCATCGAAAAGTCCCCCACGAAGGCAAATTTCTCCCAATACTTGATCCAGAAGTTCCCTTGTCTTCTGGATTGTGTTCAAACTTACAAAGTTCGGAGTTGAACATTAGTTGTCGTAAACCCAAAAATTGGATCGACCGTTAAACAACGGTTATAAAATAAAAATAAAATGTGGTGATTTGCCAGGATAGCCTGGTTGGAAGGGCACTGACTCCATGTCCAAGAGTTCGTGGGTTCGATCCCCACCGGCCGAAAACTCTCCGTGTAGTAAATGGTGACTGATTCACGTTAAATCTGTCGAGTCGCAAAGTCTTCCTTGTTCCCATAAAAAATTAATACCTCTGGTTGTACTGATCCAGGAGTTTCCTCGTCCTCTGGACTGGTTCAAAAATTACAAGGCTACGGAGGTGAGCATTAGTATTCGTGAACCCAATGTTGGCTCTGCTGTTCAACGACGAATATATATAAAAAAAAATGTAGTGACTACAAGCTTCTTTGGAATCTAGTAACTACTTGGAGTAAAGAAACGACTACTAGTAAGTAGACGAACTTTGCTGGAGAACTTAATTTACGCCTGTTTTCAAAATGGTTTTGAATAAGAAATTGACTTACATTAAATTTAAGAGAATAATTAAGAATAATTTATTCATGAGCCAGTTTGTTAATCCAAAACATTTTTTTTTTCGAATTCGTTCATTTAACCTTCACCATTTCATGCCTTTTTCGACAGCGAATATTTAATTTAAGAATTGCAAAACTAGCAAATACTTGCAATAATGTTAATTGTTTAATCCACTTTCATTTCCTCTAAGAAATTAAGTACATCGAAAATACGTTCCTCTGAAATAACATCGATATTTCACAAGTCTGCATTCGCATGTGAGAGTGTGACCAAAGTGATTCATTATATATTTATGGTTATGGATAGTTTATATATTAGTTATACTTAATTTCTATTAAGGCTCAGCTGCAGTCATTTTCATTGCATCCATTGACGGATCTGCGAAGATTTGTATCAATGAAATTCGAAAAATTAACTGCGTTTGATCAGTCTTACTATTTTTAACTAACGTTAAAAGTAGTTCCAGGAATCGCAGCAAACTACTGTTAATCGCGCTACTTTTTTTTAAGAAGGTAGCACACTACACTAAAAACTACGAAAAAAGGTAGCGACTACAGTAGTTTCACTACTTATAGCGTACTACTTCTGACCACTGGGTTTAACCAACTTAAATTAAACGCTTGTATGTTGTTCACTTTAGGCTAGCAACCAGCTGGCCTGAAGTCATTAGTTGGGTGGTCAGAGAAACTACACTATTTTTGCAGTTAACTGCAATCGTAACTATTTTATTACAAGCGTCGTTCACTACAGCTGCAACTAAATATTTTTTTAAATGCAGTGATTGCAAACTATGTTTGAAATGTCATCACAACTTCGCTTTTTTTGGAGACGAACTTTGATAGAGAACTTAATTTACACCCATGTTAAAAACAGTTTTGAATTTTTAAAAAAATCAGGAGTCATTTTGTTTTTAAATACGTTTGTAGTGTCTTATGTAACAGTGCGTAAGGCTCGCTGAAAGAGACAAAGACTAGTTTGATTGTTATGTGTAACTTAGTATTTCTAATTACCGGTTGTAAACTCTGTTCAATCAATTTAGCGTCATCCCGAATGAGTGCGATTTGTTAATTTTTGTACATTCATCTCTTTAATATTAATTTATTCCCTATAATGCCTACTTTTTAGACTAGCTATTGACAAGAATGAATAAAATACATACTAAAGACGTTTAAGCAGGAACACAATTATTTTATATGATTTTTTAATTATCTTAGAATATTTTTAGTATATGAAAATGAAGTCAATAAAAATATACTTTAACACAAAACGAATGCAAGGGCAGTAAAGTTAAAATCTGTTCAAAAGATGAAGAGTTTAAATCTGATTTATCTAAATTTTAAAGATTTGTCTATTATTAATAGAATTTACCCTTTATCTTCATTTCTTTAAAAAGTTTTCAACAAATATACTATGCAATACATAAAAAATTTCTTACTCTGAAATTATTCAGCAAGTTAAATGAAAAAAAAAATAATTCTGTTGAACAGTTGATATAATTAAAAAAAAATCGTCTTAAAATCTCATAAAATAGTTTTAAAAAAATTTCAAATTTAATAATAGCAAGCGTGTTGAATATTCTTCTATAACTGACATGCTTTGAATTATTAAAGAGTTAATCGTTGTTGCTTTCAAATAATCCTATGAAATTTATTTTTTAGTACCACATTTATCACCTACGCCGGGACCAGTACGGAGATCAACAGTCCAAAGAACAGCTGCAGCAGACCATTCAGAAACTAAATCAACAAGAGACATATCTGTTGGTCGCCCAGAAACTTATCAACTTACTACAAGACCAACATTGGCTACTCCCATTTCTATTGGTACGCCCACTAACATTATTCTCACCATTCGATCAACTACTTTTATCTCTCTTGATTTCGACTAAAATGACTCTTATTTGTAACAAACATATTTGATAATAAACAATAACTGGACAATAACTTAATAACTATTGATAACAAGCGTAAATCTTATCATTACACCGATATTGGCTGCCTAATAACTCTCTTGATGTCCGCAAGAATAACTCTTACAATCAAACCGACATTAGATACTAATATCTTTCCTGGTATTCGCTAAAATAACTTTTAACATCAGACCATCAACAGATTCAATGATTTGGGTCACCCTATTCACTAGAATAAATTTAGCTATAAGTTCGACAATAGCTATCTCCCAATTTCCTCGATCGGTCCACTAAAATAGCTCTTACCATCAGAACAAACATAATATAAAATTACAAATTCCGACCAGCTCATTTTAAATGTAAACAAACTTCTGATGATGACCTGTCGTCCTTTGACCTTTTGACATTCAAAGCGTGCCAAATGAAAAATGCAGACAAATTCAGAAGTGAAAATTTTTCTCGCGTGGTGTAAAAGAGTTTGGTGTAAGATTATTCAAATTTAAGTGTTTAGATTTAAATCCTATATGAACGCTTGGTTTGGTGTTAACGGTGAATAAAGTGTTCATTCAATGAATTCTTTAAGTTGTTCTATACCTTATTCGAAGAGACATTACACCACAATTATTACAGTGTAGAAAATCGGTTCTCTTTAAGCGCAAATTATTATTATTTTTTTCAGAATAGCTTACATGAACATATTTTTTTTTTTTTTTGCCTTGATCTTCACTTTTGGCTTTAAACTTTTTACCTCTGATTGATTTGTGTCACAAATCAATATTTTGTGTAAACTGGAAAAAAAGGAAGTAAGAAACTTCAGATCGAAAAGTTTTCGAGCTTTGTTTTAAATAATCAGATTTTAGGAATTAACGATAAATCTTAAGGTTATCGTTGAAATCAACTATCTTTATTGATTGGAATATTCCAATTTATAAAGATAGTTGATGTGAAACATATAGTTGATAATTGATGATAGTTTTTGCCATATTTTTAACAATTAGAATTGATATAAACTTGAACAGTCTCTGGCACATTAAGCTTTGTCAGATGCTGATAACGTTTTAAAAGTTTCTGTCATCAAAGAAATGGTAAATAGTCACTTCTTTCTAAATTTTTTAATACTTAACATTTCTTTTTGTATGAAAGTTGTATAAATATTATGAATTACCTATATCTACTTATCTTTTATAATTGAACAAAAATGATATATTAGATCTTTACATTCAAGTTAAATACGCAGTTTTTAATCACTTATGTATACGATTGCACATTTCTCATTATGAACACATTTTCACATCTTCACGAATGAATAGTTTTAAACAAATGTATAAATTTAAAAGTAAGAATGAATCTCAAAGTAAAAACAAATACATGATCCTTTAATTTTTTAAAAAAATGAATTGTTAACAGTGTAAAAATGTGCTAAGTAAACGTTTTGAATATCAGTACTTTTTCTTTAAAAAAAATTGTCAAATTTGGATTTTTTAACACGGGTGAGATAAACAAAAATATTTCTATGGAAAATGTAGAAAGGATTTGTCTACTTTACTGAAACTTATTTAAAACTTATCGTACCTTCTTTATAATCTTTAGTTTTATATTTTTAACAATCCAATCAAACAATGTTAAAATATTGCCTGGGAAGGTAAGAGCTTAATTATCGATTTTTAACTCTACATTTCTGGCTAGTTTAACTTGCATAAAAGCATGCTACTGAATAAATCCGAAATGCATTTTAAAGCTTTAACAGCGATATCTTTTAGAGTTGAAATTAATGTCTCCAATAATGACAAGTCCGAGACAAATGCATGAATCTCAAAAGGCAACCATTAATCTCGCAAAAATGAATCGCTTCCGCCGATCAGTAAATTTTAATGACGTCAAAATAAAAGTTCGCAGAGCAATTGCCGATACCATTTCTCATCGAAGAAAATGGCACTTCGAGAAATTTCTATTCCTCTGTAGTGTGATTAACAGCTTTCAAAGTACTGCATTTGCAGACTACTCTCCTCTAAATTCTCTTCCCTGTTTCTTAAAATAGGATAATTACTTGAAAGTATTTTGTAAAATCTGTAATTTAGAATTGATTGCAAATTTATCTTTCATCATTTTATGGGTATTTTTTAACAAAAAAAAAATTTTGAATTTTTGTTCATGCAAAAAAAAAAAAAAAAAAAAAAAAAAAAAAAAAAAATATGACCATAATTAGGGCCTTACAAATTATGCGGAAATATTTTCAAAATTATGCGACAAGGATGCAGCAATTTTTTTAAAAACATTTCGGATGGGTATGAAATGACCTTGAAAATACCTTATCAGTTATTCTGAAGGTCATTAACCTGATTATCCCGAGTTAACTCGGGTATGTATATATTGAAAATATTTATTATCCCGAGTAAACTCGGACAATATTTATTGCTAAAACCCCGTCCCGCCCCCAAAGGGGGCATCAGGGTATCAATAAAGACAAACAATTAGATTTTAACAGTAAAGACAAACCGGAAAACAATAAAGACATCCGGGAAACAATAAAGACAAAATCACATATTAACAGTTTGCAAGGGTAAATGCGATCTAAAACAGATGAAAAGAAGTACTTCACTACATAATAATACAATTTAGAAAGTTCGTAAGTAGTTAGTCAAAGGGATCCCTTGAATAACAAAACCTTATAAAAGGTGGTGTGCAAATAAACCACACAACTTTTGAAAATGAAAGAACAGCTACACAAGTATATATATATACACAGCATGTATATGAATTAAAATGGTGAGTTATATAACAATGGAACTGGAAAGTGAAAGTGATGTCTGCGTGAAAATATTAACAGATGCATAGATGATCTCGGTTACAGTAAGTCTTGTTAAACAGCTGTACATACATCTCAGTACGAATCGAAAGAACAAGTGTGAATATATAGTATTCTAACCATACTGATGAAAATGATATACAGTGACAACGTGAAGTTACAGATGAAAAGATGATCCACATAACAATAATTTTAAAGATGTCAGTATACATTAAAGACAAACAATCAAAAATTTACAGTCTACAGGGGTATATGCGATCTATAACAGATGGAAAAAAGATCTTCGCTACATAAAAATGCGTTTTAGAATGTTTGTAAGTAGTTAGCTCATGTAATAAGGCTACCGCCTACGAAAGTATATCCAGAGAAACCATGTCAACCCCTCTGATATTGATTTACAATTAAGAAAAGAAAGCATTAAAGGGCAGGGGTATTATTTATAAAGTGTTCTTTAATAATTTGTTCAATTCCGTTTTTAATTTTGGGAGCAGCCCAGTGTTTTTTAAGATTATCAAACGAAAGATTTTTTGGAAAGAAATTTTTTCTAATAGTTGTAAAGTTTGGACAAACAAGAAGGATGTGATTAAGATCATCGTTAATTAAACATGATTTACACAATGCAGATTTTTTATGAAATCTAGCTTGGTAAGTACCCTGAGATCCGTGATTTGTCAAAAATTTATTTACGTAAAAGTTAGAATAAATACAATTAGGATTAACTTTGGGAATTAGTTCGAATGTGTGACGAGCTTGGTTTTCAGGGTTTTCCCATCGCTCTTGCCAAGTGATCAAATTTTGTTTATATAATTCGTGTCTAACTGAAGATTTTGAAGGATAATCAATTAAATCTACTTCGTTTTTAGAACAAGCTATTTTTGCTAAATTATCAGCCTCCTCGTTACCCCTGTGACCAACATGAGCTTTAATCCAGTGAAATTTAACATTTTGTCTATAGTTATCTTTAATCATTTTTGTCAGATAATCATATTCTTTAATATTATTTAGGGACTGCAAACCTGAAAGGGAATCGGAATATAAATGCACAATTAAATTAATGTTGTTGTTATTTATCCAGTAAATAGACTGAAGAATCGCCCAGAGCTCGGCTTTAAATACAGTTGATTGATCGCTCAACCTAAAGCAGTAATGATCGAAATAGTTACCATTTAAATATACGACGAAGGCACAGCCGACTCTGAAGTCGCCTTCATGAATCAAGCGAGACCCGTCTGTATAAATTTGTATTGTTTCATCACTTGGTAAAATGTAATTAAATGGGATAGAAAAATAATCAGCAGGATGTTTAAGTGGAAGTTCTTGTTTAAAATTTATAGAATCCTCATGTAAATAGATATCTGCAAGTTTTGCCTCTGTTTGGATTGTTAAATCTAAAGGTACTGTACCAGCTAAGACCTGAAGGGCCGCTGTAGATGAGGTTCTGTAGGCTTTTGTGAGACTCAAAAGTGGTACACGTTCAATCTTTTTAATTTTATTTAGAGTTCTGACATTATTATTGTACCAGATTTCGGAACCATAAGTGATGATTTTTAAAATAGATGTTTGAAACATATATTTCCTTGTTCTTGGGTCGATTCCCCAGTCAACGCCAGATAGTCGGTTGAGTTTAGCTTGAAAGACAGTAAACTCGGACATAGCAGAATCCGTCAATATGTTTTATTTTATCAAGTTTTTATTCGGCTTGCTCTTTCAAAAATCCTGTGCCTGTTTGTCCTGCTCGCACGACTAGAATTCTATATAGTAATGCCAATATAAATGCTAATATTTTAAATGCTGTCCATTTTATTTATTTCTTAATACCACACATTGAGCCCTTTCCAAAAATAATTTATTTGCAGGAAACTTTATTGAAACACCATCATTCTTTGGACGTTCCTATTTAGAATTACCACGCCTTCAGGCCTACTCCCGTCTCTCTTTGGAACTGGAGTTTCGAACTTTTACCAATGACGGAATATTGTTATACAATGGCCAAACAGCTACTGGAACTGGCGATTTTGTCTCTTTAGCTATCAGAGATGGTTTTGCAGAATTTAGGTATAAAAATATTATAGCTATTTTAAAACCCAAAGCTTTAAACGTTGGGCATGTTTTGGTTGTATGAGAATAACTTGATATTAAAACTATTCATACGTTAAAAAAAACTTTAGTGCAATATTTATTAAGTAGTCCAGAACAATATATAACTCTAAAATTTAGGTACATACTTCGGTAAAACTATTTTATAATACAAAAAAAGTGAAATTTTGCTGTACAAATATTTTATTTTGCCCTTTTTTAAAACTGGGCAACTTCAGATAATTTTGTTTTTTGACAAATTTCTATGAATTAAAATAATTTCATTTAAAGCCGTTATTTCACGCATGTAAATGAATTTAAAGGTGAGAGAAAAATAAATTGCTTAATATCCTCCTTTTTCTTTTTATTCTCGAAATCTCAAAAGAAAAAGAAAAACACTCTGATCATTTCTGCTGTTTCTCAAATTTTTAATAACTCATGATCAGTCTACCACTGAAAATATTTTTTTATACAGCACTGTGGTTCGTGCGATGCGGGTGCGGAATTCGAATCTACCTGCCACTGCTGGGATTCGAACTCACTTCACTAGAGGCAAACGCTCTATTCCCCGAGCCACCGCGGCTCTCCAATATGGTTTATTAGTTTCGGCAATAAGTAAGAATTGAAACAAAAATATAGGCTAAGTATTAAAATATAAAATACATAATTAATATAGTTATGTACTAATTCGTTGAAATCATCATACTATTATTTAAGCCACTGCTAGACTGCATTCATACTTTTGGTATTATGGTAATTGGTGCTATTGAGTACTTGCAACTCGAGAAGGAGAGTACGTGATTGGGCAGAACCCTGTAATTTTAAAATCAAATTTAACTTTTTAATTGGATACCCGTAAGCAACGTCACTCTTGTGTGTTGATTGACTTCTGAATCGGCGAATACCACGATTCACCCACAATGACGTCACTCGCAGGTATCCAATTTTTCATATACTGCGGAACGATTTTTTTTACGGGCCCTCAAAAAGAGTAAGTACAGAACAAAATTTTTTTATTTTAGTAAATTTTGGCTTCCGTGAATTAATTCCCAGTAAAAGCATCTCGCCAAAAGATGCTGAATGCAGTCAATTCCTTATTTTGGAATGGACATCTAAAAACGTGCTTTAAAAACGCAAAGCCATCGGACAAGGTCAAAAAATAAGGATAAATTAAAAAACAAATTGGAACTGTTTTACCTTCATTAATTGCGTTTCATTAATTGTATTTCATTATTATTTGTGTTTCACTATTAATTGTGTTTCATTATTATTCGTGTATACCTTTCAGTTTTGTGTATTTTCTCGTATTGTTATTCAGTACTAGTTTAATGATTGTTTAACCCCTTTACGGAGAACGGGTATTCAGCCAGTCTTTAGTAAAGTAAATATGTGTTACCTTAAATTTAATATCTAAAATAAGTTTCCTTAATTTAGGTATAATTTAGGAAACGGTCCCGTAGTTCTGCGATCTCCACAAAAATTACACTTGGGTAAATTTCACCGCCTGATTGCCAAAAGGTATTTGCGAGACGGAATGCTTACGCTGGAGGGACAGGAAGATGTTGCCGGCAAGAGTCAAGGTTCTTTGAAATCTTTAGATCTCGGAGAAAATCTCTTCTTGGGGTACGTCCCATCCGAGAGGAAAGGGTAAGAATCAATTTTAGAATATCGATTCCAATTTCAATGCATTTAGCTAATGTTCCAAATACTAGTTGAAGCATTATGGGGTTTGTGGTACATTTTTAATGCTCTTTTAAAAAAGAATGCAAACATCAAAGTTAAAAACTAGTAAAATACTATCTTAGGTTTAATTAAAGAGGGGTTATTAATCGACATCTAATTAGGTTCAAAAAATAACCTTCGTTTACACCTTCAACACAACATCACGTAGCTTCTCTGAGAAAAATGCATGTGGGTTTTCTTTTAAAGTTTGACTCAATTTTTGGAATTAGTTTATAAGATGCTAGCTAAATTAAGGATAAAGACCAAACAGTCGTGAATAACTGTTGCAAACTCTCAAAAGTTATGAATTTGTCAAGAAAAGCTTTATTTCATGTGTTAACATAACCTTCAAAAACAGCCTAAATTCAGCTAAAAGTGGATCTCTGTCAATAAAAGTATAAAGTCTATATCGACAATATGCATTACTGTCAGTAAATGTTCCTTAATTAACCTTTAAAAAGCATCAGCGAGAAAAATACAGTGAAAATACAGACTATGTGATGGTTTGTATCATTAAAAAAATGCCAGTGAATGGAATTCTAGTATTCACAAGATCAAGCGCTATAACAAACAGTTATTTATGTCTCTCAATTTAACATTAGAAGAAAATGGTTGAAAATAGTTTGATAGTGTTTTAATGAATTCCTATTGGCTGAAAATAAGCAGATAACAATTTCGGTACTTTTCCATTAACCAGGAGCAAGCGAAAAGTTGCCAAATAATGTAGAATTTTGCTAAATTTCTAACAACCATAAGGGGAGTGTCAGTTTGGGGTCACGTAGCTCTATTGTCAGAATAAAGCATCCTTTCCATTCAGAATTCCTTTCTTTCTTCTATCTTAATTTTTGTTTTAAAAAAAGCATAAATTTAAACATTCTTTAGGGGTAAAACTGTTCTGTTTACAATTCATTATTATTTGTTTATAGTTGAACGTTTTCGACTTTTCTCCCGTTGACTCTGTTTTGTCATTCGTTTCGCTTGGCGACTTGGTACGCGTTTCGTTCACAATTGGCGACGTTTGCACCCGGCTGACGGAAAAATACCACAATTTCATACATTAATTTTGTTTAAAAAAATATTGTCTTAGTAGGCTTCGAAGTTGCAAAATGATTTTGCGATTGCGAATATTGCATGCCTTATTATTGTCATATTCCTGACTTACATATGGAATTTTTGACAACATTTATGAATCACCTTGTACATATACATAATGATAATGAAGTAATTTTGCGATGAGTAACGTTAAATGATCAAATCACTACAGTTAAAAATCTATTCAAGATATATTTTGAGAGAAAAATAAGATTTGATTGTCTTGTGCTCGGTATTATTCTTATGGAATGTTTTTGATTGACATTTACTTCCCCGTTACGGTCAAAACTAAACATTCATCCATCTTAATATTACTTCCACTTTTGTCTTTTTTTAATAATATTCTTCCCCTGTAACTTACATTTTTAAAAGCAGGTCTAGCAATATATATCTATATTTTTATTCCATAAGCTTTATATATTCAGCTATTTTTTGTTTTGAAGCTGTCTGTCTGAAAATGACGTTTTTATGAAATATTACAGGATATTTGAAAATATTGCTGTTACTAGTGGTATGGTAGGATGCATTAGGCGATTGAAAATTGGAAAAAAAGAAGTCGATCTCAGATTTCCTTATTCAAAAGATATTTTGAGGGGACACGGAATACGTAAGTATTATGAACATGTAAGAAATAAATCTTGAATAGTTTGCCGTAACTTCGACTTTTGATTATTTAACTATATTATATATTAACTTCATAGATAAGATATTAGGATTATTGATCAAATAAAGTTTTCAGTTGGAAATTTAGCGAAAAAAATGAATAGTTAAAATAGATCTCTAGATCTACTAACTGAAAAGATTTACTATCAAAGAAATATTTAACTATTGAAAAATAAAATTTAATAGTTAAGAAATTGAGATTATTTAACTGAAAGTGATAGTTGAAGAATTAAATAGCTCGCTGTTACATCTAAAGTGGATTTTTTAACTTTAAAAATTAAATTTTAAATGGATATGAAGTGGGGATAAATTATCTAAGAGATATTTGTAGAGCAATTAATTGAAAATATATATTTTAATGTATATAGAAATCGATATTATTTAAAGAAACTGAAAAGAATAGTGTAGGAATTAAATTGGTCACTACTACCACTAAAGTGGAAATTTTAAATATAAAAATTAAATTTTAAGTAGATGAGAAGTTGGGATAAATTATCTAAAAGAAGTCAGTACAAGTAAACACAGTTAATATTTTTAATATAAATATATATATATTTTATATACATATTATTTTTATATATATATATATATATATATAATTTATTT